AGAAGCTATGTTTAATGTCAAAATCAAAATCTTGGCTGATTTCAATGTGCTGTTGGATGTTGTCCGCCATTGCTTCTGTGGTTAACGTCACGTTGTAATCCAAATGCAGTTGAGTTGGACGTCAATTGTAGTTCAAGATGAGCGTTCGATGACGTATACTATCAAACTCACAAATGGACCAATCAAAGGTTAGCACTGATTTCCAGCTGACGGCGTCCTGTCCTAAGAAACCAGGCCTTAACGCGTTGCTGAAAATTTTATTTATTTATTAATTTTTATTACAATTTCTTACAGGGATTACAAATAGCTCGAGCAATGTTACCCTAGAAATGTCTGATTGTCCTAGTGGTAGCAACTGTACTTTGGTGAAAGGTTACACATATTACATGACCACAAAATTTAGTAAGTATATCCCTTTACCTGGAGTTGAAAACGTTTTTATTAATCCCGAAAACACCTGGGAAGCATTTTTTTTCTAATGTTCGAGTATTGTAAAGCCTTATATGTTCTTAATATAAACTTATACAATCTTATACGTTCTTTATAAACTGGCGCATTCAAACAAACAAAAATAAATAAATAAAAAAAAAATTTGTTTTAAGGGAAATCAGTATAACCTTCAAAGCAAAAATTATTTAAGATTTGAAATTCCCATACGCGAAGTAGGTAAGATCAAATACTGGCTTAAATGCAACAAAGAAATAATTTAAATAACTCATTCTTTGATTACTGCATCAATTTTATTTTATTTTATAACCGTCGTTGAACAGCCGACCCAATTTCATGGGTTTACGACTACTAATGTTCAACTCCGTTGCCTTGTAATTTTGAACCCAATCCAGAAGACAAGGGAAATACTGGTTCGAGTATTAGGAGAAATTTGCCTTCGTGGAGGACTTTTTGATGTAGCTAACACGCATCTGCGTTACATGGAGAGGAAGACCACGAGAACCTCCCACGGCTAGCCTAACGGCAAGGGGACTCTAACCCATGATCCGTCTACCACTGAGGATATTTCACGTCATCACTGTGGGTGGTGTAAGCCGGATGCGGAAATCGTAACGACTGGGATTCGAACCCGGTTCGCCGCATTGGAAGGCGAACGCTCCATCCCCTGAGCCTTCGCGGCTCTACTACATCGATTCAATTTAAAAAAAACACTTCGGCTTAGTGAGGAACAGCCGATATGAATTGAAATAATGAAGTACCGACTCGGCTCTCGGTGGAATAACTTAAATTGCTTTGCGGATAAGTTGTCAACTTCCAGTTAATTAAAAAAAAAGTTTTACAACTTGTGAAAGAAATGGGTTGGCTGCAGGTGGCATAGAGCAGAACTCATAACCTATAACAACACTTTGCATGCTTTCCCCATTAATGTGTGGATAGTCATAGGAGAAGGAAGTACGTTAGTTAATTACTTAATTTTCAAACAGATTAATTTTTTTAAAAATTAGGATTCTTCATGGAACTCAAAACTGTGCTAAACATAGTTCTTAAATAAAGCATAGTGGAAATTTCTAAAGACATTTTTGACAGTTAAATTCAAAAAATATTATGTCGGGGAAAATTTTTTTAGAACATTTCCTTTCAATAAACTGAGTAGAGTAGTCGTGGTAACAAGGCTATAATGTTCAGTGGAGGTTGGATGTTGTGAAGATTTATTTTCATAGTAATATGTATATTTATTTATTTTCTTAACAATATGCATGTTTTTTTTCGAAGTAATATGCATATTTCTTTTCATAGTAAAAAATATGGTTCTTTTCATAGCAATATGAATGTTTCTTCTCATGACAATATGAATTGTTCTTTTAACAGTAATATGGATATTTCTTTTAAAGCTTTACAAGAAAATGTAAAGAACATGCTTGTTCGAGTTTCGGGTGTGATGGGTCGCGTTAGGATGCCATACACGAAGGACAAGCCTGTGTGCTCGGAAGTGACCACAGAGGACGGAGAAAACTGTGACCCACAAATCGGATTTCAAAAAGGAAAGTCATATTCACACGTCTTGAATCTTCCCGTCCGAAACATCTTTCCCGAAGTAAGTGCTCTGAAGTAGTAGATGCTTTTTATAAATTCTTGATTTGGCGAAAACAAGACTTCTTCAAACCTATGAATTAAATTTATCCATTATTACACCCAGCATTAACAACTAAGCAAATATATATATATATATATAATTATATTAACCATGATTTATTTCAATAATTTAGGCAAAACCCAACAGTGAACAAANCAGATATATATATAAACTTTAACCAGGTTCGGAACCTCACGAAATGGCAATCAAGAATTCGAATTTGCAATTTTAACTTCATGATTCGAATAATTTAAAAATTAAAATAAAACTAATAAAATATATTGTTTACCTGTTAACTATTTATCTCTAATTTAGCGGCGTTTTTATTTCTAAATTTTTTATTTTATTCTGTTCACTGAGATATTTGAAACCAAAAATTTTGTCCATCGGCGGTCAGCAATAGGGCGGTATATTTCTTCTACGGGGAGATGGATAAAGGATAATTTGGTAACAATTTTCACCAAGGAAATGTCTAACCTTGCTTGAAGTAGACATTTTTTTTAGAATTCGAACACAAAACAATTATCAATTATTTTTTTTTATAGTTAATTTAAATGCCCAAATATTGAGCTAAAAATTGTTATCTTAGAAGGGAGTTAAAATTTCCTCTGTACCCGGGTCCCGGGAAAAAGGCCATATTTGTATCAGGTACCCAACTTTATTTGATAAGTGAAGTGAAAGTATAATGTTTTTTATTTGATTTCCAAAAGGTAGAATAGTAGAAATCGTATAAATCTCGGTGCGCTGCCACGAAGCGACATTAACCGATTCGTCGGTGGTAACAAATCGATCATGAGGAGGAATGGAGATGGGAGGAAGAGGGAGTGCTCAGCACAAAATAATCGAGAGGGGGTTCGTGTGACATGAACAATCATGAAATGAAGAGTGGCATGGGGTATAATTAAACGACAATATAATAATCAATATAAAATAAATGGTGTAGATAATGATAATATTAAGGAAGGTCTGGGTTAAATATAAAATTTATACGTATTTATAACGCACAATACTCAACGCAAATTTAATAGAAAATAAGATAAAAATAAAATAGATATATACAATAGGAAAATAATTAATGGGAGAAAATTATGGCATGAGCTCTGTTACAGTGGTGACCCAGGATTCCAGGTTGAATAACCACACTAGTTTTAATCATACTGTATATTTTTTGGGGACGACACCAGTAGGATTATTTAACATCTAACTCTTTTGGTTTAACAGGAAGATTTCATTTTCATATTCAAAGTGGTAGTGAAACTCTTGTATTCCATGAAACGTTTTGAATTGTAATGATAATTGAAGCTTTCAGTGTTAAAAAGAAGTATATTACAAATCTGAAGTTTCAAGCAGAAAAAAAAAACGTGAATTCTGGAAAGATTGTTTTAATTGCTTCCAAATTCGATTGTCTTCTTGAGGTAGTCTAGAAAATTACTCGGTATTTGAAATCGGTGATTGATATTCCAAAACCAACAAGAAGCAATATTTTCGTAAAAGTGTTACATAGCCCCTTAAAAAAGATGAATTAATGTTTAACTTAATGTTTAATTCGCAAATGTTTAACTGAATTTGGAACAGTTCGCATCTCCGTACTTTTCACCATGCTTCGTTTCTAATCGATGAAACTTCGGGTCTTGAATCAAATGCTTTAAATGATTACATATTTTCATTTACAAATTAGAGCGTAATTCGAGCAACTGTAAGCCGAAATTAATTATTCTCTAAAGATTAAATAGTATATTTTTTCTGGTTTACAACACATTTTTCTGCATAAAAAATTGTCTCACTTAAACTGATTAGTATAAAAAATCGCAACGGCAAAAAAAATTAAGTAGTTTATAAAATTAAAATTCAGCACTAAAAACTTATTTTTATTTATTATTTAGTTAATTATTACTTTTTAATGCATAACCTAATTTTTTATGAATAATCTTAGAAGTTGTTTTTCTTTAGATATCTATGAGAATTAGAACAGAGTATTTCGACAGTTCCAGATTAACAGACAACAGCATTAAACTTTGCTTTGAAGTTCCCATCAAGATAAAGTAATATTTTATAGTCATTCTTTTCAATTGCTTGTTTTTATTTTCCATGAAATTCCTATCAGTTTAAAGTAATGTTTCAGCAATATTCCTAACTGCTTGTTTTTTTTTCTTCTTCTTTTATTTGCTATAAAGTTCCCATCAGGATAAACTAACATTTTCATCATTCTTTTCAACTGCTTGTTCATTATTTGCCGTGAAATCCCTATCAGGATGAATAAATATTTTAGTCTTTTTTTTTCTTCCTAAAAAGCTTCTTTTTAATTTCTAAGATCTCATCAGGACAAAGTAATATATCAGGATTCTTTTTAAACTGCTTGTTTTTTTATGTGCTATGAAGTTCCTATCAGGATTGATTTTGTCATTCTTTTCAACTGCTTGTTTTTTACTTACTGTGAAGTTCCCATCAGGGTAACTAAATATTTTAGTAGTTTTTTAGCAGTTTGTTTTTAATTTTCTAAGTAGCTCCTATCAGGATAAAGTAATATTTTAGTCATTCTTTTCAACTGCTTTTTTTTATTTGCTTTGAAGATCCTACTAGGATATATAAATATTTTAATTTTTTTTTTCAAGAGCATCTCTTTAATTGCTATGAAGTTCCTGTCAGGACAAAGTAATATTTCAGCATTTTTATTTAAATGCTAGTTTTTAATGTGCTATGAAGTTCCCATCAGGATTAAGTAGTATTTTAGTCATTATTTTCAATTGCTTGTTTTTTATTTGCAATGAAGTTGAGATAAAATAAATATTTTAGCAGCGATTTTCTTTTAAATGCTCGTTTTTATTTCTATGAAGTTCCCATTAGAATTAAGTAATATTTCAGTCATTCTTTAAAATTGCTTGTTCTCCATTTTCAATGAAGTTCATATCAGAATAAAACAACACAAAATTCTTTTCATTCTTTTTTAACTGTTTACTTTTTAAACGTGAGTGAACCATGCAGTCGTTTTAAACGAAAGCTTTATTTGGATATTTATAACCAGTGCTCCATCCCTCCCCCCGCACTTTGCAAAAGAGATGGGTCTAGTATGGATATGGGTGCATAGAATATTTCTGCAATTAGCAATCAAAATTTCTCTGCAAATTTTGGCAGAATGGCGAAACTTTGGCACACTTTTATGCGGGTGCAATTGATTTACAAAACACGTGATAGTTTTTAAAAATTCGATTTTCGTCATTTTAAATTTACATTTGTTAAAATGATGTCGAAAACTGTATACCTTACAGTTTAAACGTTTTTCGACTATTATTTAATAAAATAAAAATAAAAAATATTTCCCAAAAATTATTTTTTTGCATGAAATTATATTTGGATAAAAAAATTTTAGAATTCTGTGCACAAAAATGTTTCAATTCGCTTTAAAAGTTTTTGAGATATGGCGAAATACCCAAAATATAAAATTAGCATCAAGAGTTCTAATCTTCGGACCTCCTGTCCAAACTATTTGGACCATGTTCCCCAGATTTTGACCACGGCCTTTGTTTTAAGGATTAGAAGTCATAATCCATCTAAAAAGGTAAAATATTCGGTGAAAGTACGTTTATTGTGTTTGATTTCGAAACTTAAAGTAGCGCCTGTTTTAACTGAACTTTTACTTTTCAGTCAATTAAAAAGTAAATAAAAATAAAAAATATATAAAAACTCCTTTTTTTTTCTTCAAAATTGTGCAACTGGAAATTTAGAGTTTTATGCAAAAAGGAAACATCTTATCAAAAATTAAAATTAAAAAAAGAGCTACAAATGTAAAGCAATACATTTACAGTTATATGTAAATATTAACCATTTTTTTCATTAAAATATTTTAAATTCAAGATTTAATGTATCTTTGTATAAACTGGTGTTATATTGAATTTAGTCTTGTATTTATTTATTTTTTTTTTTTCATTTTCCAGGAAACAAACAGAAGTCTAAATAAATGGAAATGCATGAAAAATAAAAATAATAAAAACCATTGTTGCATCATTAATAACACAAATCGTAGCAAAAATTCATTGTGTCTCTAGTCCAAGAGCGATTGCTTAATTCAAATATGTTTTCTTGCGCTGCATCCCGGCAATTAACTGCGATGAATAGGCAAGTGACGAAAATCAGAAACCTAAATTAATATTTTTACATTAAAGCATTACTAAGAGAGAACTGTTGAATTTTTATTATCAAAAAGAAAAGTATGCTTTCCTTAACCTGCCGTATACGAGGATACACATTTGTTAACTCTTTTTGGCTTAGTGTGGCTAGTCTGGCAACTCAACAAAGGGTCTCAATCATTTATAAAAAATTATACTTTTAAAATTAGTAAGGTAGTTTTAAGTGTACAAATTCGAATTTTCGAATGAATCATCTGCAATAATTGGGTGATAATATGATATTTTCAGTAAAAGAAAATTACTCTTAAAGTTCATTTATATCCATATATATATCTGAATGAACGTCTTTCTGTGAATGTGCGTGTGTGTGTGTTCATTATAGATTCCTAAACCATCCAGACGAAGGCGGTGAAATTCGACATACAGACAGTTAGAAGCTCACTGTCGTCATTAGAATATTCTATGACTAACCGTTCAAGCGGGATGAGCGAAAAACAAAATGGAATTTTCTGATTGGTCAAACGTTAGCTATTGTTTTAAATTTTACTATAAATGATTCACTTATCAAATATTTCGAAGATAACATAAGTAATAATTTCTAGCTCATAGTTCTATTTGATCAGAAAAATATTGCACGTATCCAAATATTTAATTATTTTGTGTTCGCTTTAATTATTTTTTATTTGCTGTATCAGATAAGTAAAATGAACAACATCACTTGGTACCACGCGTGATCTACATCATTAATTTATACTTTAGAAGTTGTCTGATACAACGCGCTTTTTTTGTTTATAATATTTGTCTCAAAACGTGTTTCTAAGACACTTCAAACTAGTAACTTTGGTTGAATACGCAAATATCTTTCCTTCTGTTGCATTGTAATTAACTAAAGTTCTGAAAGCCAAAACTTAACTTATACTTTTGAAGTTGTCTGATAACAACGCGCTTTTTTTTTGTTTATAATATTTGTCTCAAAACGTGTTTCTAAGACACTTCAAACTGGTAACTTTGGTTGAATACGCAAATATCTTTCCTTCTGTTGCATTGTAATTAACTAAAGTTCTGAAAGCCAAAACTTAACTTATACTTTTGAAGTTGTCTGATAACAACGCGCTTTTTTTTTGTTTATAATATTTGTCTCAAAACGTGTTTCTAAGACACTTCAAACTGGTAACTTTGGTTGAATACGCAAATATCTTTCCTTCTGTTGCATTGTAATTAACTAAAGTTCTGAAAGCCAAAACTTAACTTATACTTTTGAAGTTGTCTGATAACAACGCGCTTTTTTTTTGTTTATAATATTTGTCTCAAAACGTGTTTCTAAGACACTTCAAACTGGTAACTTTGGTTGAATACGCAAATATCTTTCCTTCTGTTGCATTGTAATTAACTAAAGTTCTGAAAGCCAAAACTTAACTTATACTTTTGAAGTTGTCTGATAACAACGCGCTTTTTTTTTGTTTATAATATTTGTCTCAAAACGTGTTTCTAAGACACTTCAAACTGGTAACTTTGGTTGAATACGCAAATATCTTTCCTTCTGTTGCATTGTAATTAACTAAAGTTCTGAAAGCCAAAACTTAACTTATACTTTTGAAGTTGTCTGATAACAACGCGCTTTTTTTTTGTTTATAATATTTGTCTCAAAACGTGTTTCTAAGACACTTCAAACTGGTAACTTTGGTTGAATACGCAAATATCTTTCCTTCTGTTGCATTGTAATTAACTAAAGTTCTGAAAGCCAAAACTTAACTTATACTTTTGAAGTTGTCTGATAACAACGCGCTTTTTTTTTGTTTATAATATTTGTCTCAAAACGTGTTTCTAAGACACTTCAAACTGGTAACTTTGGTTGAATACGCAAATATCTTTCCTTCTGTTGCATTGTAATTAACTAAAGTTCTGAAAGCCAAAACTTAACTTATACTTTTGAAGTTGTCTGATAACAACGCGCTTTTTTTTTGTTTATAATATTTGTCTCAAAACGTGTTTCTAAGACACTTCAAACTGGTAACTTTGGTTGAATACGCAAATATCNAGCAAAGCGAGCATTGGATTGCGAAGCAATCCGAAATGAACTGCGAAAGCAGTTCCGGGGGTTGGTGAGCGTTAGCGAGCAGGGGGCGAAGCCTCCTAGTATTTAATTATTTTGTCTTCGCTTGAATTATTTTATATTCGCTGTATCAGATAAGTAAAGTGAACAACATTACTTGGTACCACGCGTGATCTACATCATTAATTTATACTTTTGAAGTTGTCTGATACAACGCGCTTTTTTGTTTATAATATTTGTCTCAAAACGTGTTTCTAAGACACTTCAAACTAGTAACTTTGGTTGAATACGCAAATATCTCTCCTTCTGTTGCATTGTAATTAATTAAAGTTCTGAAATCAAAAACTTAATAAAAACGAAACTTAAGTTTAAGACTTAAATAAGCAAATAAGTAAATTACAAGTGATTCATAGATATCTTTAAGCAATATACAAAATGATATAATGGTTTTTCAGAAATAAAAATATTTTAGAATTTTAATTAAACTGTTTTTTAATGATCAACACAGATTACTCTCAATGTCTAGATACGGCTGGAATGTCAGAAAATAATATACTTTTTGTGCTTGAATCCGGTTTGTCAATAGCGTGGGCTTTTCAAACCCCCCACGGGAAAAGTGGGAAGTCCTTATCCCCTATATTACTCCCTGATGTGTGCAAATCTATTCGTTCTTGGGAAACATATACATTCAGACAAAAACTAAACTAAAAAGGAATATTTAAAAAAAAATTCTGCGGCTTTCCCAAAAAGACTAGTTTTAACACACCTGAATTTAAAAAAATCAAGTTCTTTGAAGTGTACAACAAATTTTTTCCCTAGTGTAATCCCAGTACTTATGAAAATAATTAAACTTTTGAACATGGAAAGAG